ATGTAATACACCATATAAACAAACTGAAAGAAAAAAAAAACACATGATCATCTCATTAGATGCTGAAAAAGCCTTTGACAAAATCCAACACCCCTTCATGATAAAGGTCTTAGAGAGATCAGGAATACAAGGAACATTCCTAAACATAATAAAGGTAATTTACATCAAGCCAACAGCCACCATCAAATTAAACGGAGAGAAACTCAAAGCAATTCCACTAAAATCAAGAACAAGACAAGGCTGTACCCTCTCTCCATATTTATTCAATATAGTACTTGAAGTTCTAGCTAGAGCAATAAGACAACAAAAGGAGATGAAGGGAATACAAACTGGAAAGGAAGAAGTCAAACTTTCACTATTTGCAGATGATATGATAGTATACATAAGTGACCCCAAAAACACTACCAGGGAACTCCTACAGCTGATAAACTCCTTCAGTAAAGTGGCAGGATACAAGAACAACTCAAAAAAAAAAATCAGTAGCCCTCCTATACACAAATGATAAAAGGGATGAGAAAAAAATCAGAGAAACATCACCCTTTACAATAGCCACAAATAATATAAAATACCTTAGTATAATACTAAACAAGTGAAGGACCTGTTTGATAAGAACTTTAAGTCACTAAAGAAAGAAATTGAAGAAGATATCAGAAAATGGAAGGATCTCCCATGCTCATGGATAGGTAGGATTAACATAGTAAAAATGGCAATATTACCAAAAGCAATCTACAGATTCAATGCAATCCCCATCAAAATTCCAACACAATTCTTCACAGACTTGGAAAGAACAATACTCAACTTCATATGGAAAAACAAAAAAAAACCAAGATAGCTAAAAGAATTCTGTATAATAAAGCAACCTCTGGAGGCATCACCATCCCTGACCTCAAGCTCTACTATACAACTATAGTAATAAAAACAGCTTGGTATTGGCATAAAAACTGACATACAGACCAATGGAATAGAATTGAAGACCCTGACATTAATCCACACACATATGAACACCTGATTTTTGACAAAGAGGCCCAAACTATACAATGGAAAAAAGAAAGTATCTTCAACAAATGGTGCTGGCATAACTGGATATCAACATGTAAAAGATTACAAATAGATCCATATCTGTCACCATGTACAAAACTCAGGTCCAAGTGGATCAAAGACCTCAACATAAATCCAGCTACACTGAACTTGATAGAAGAAAAATAGGAAGTACTCTTGAACGCATTGGCACAGGAGATCACTTCCTAAATATAACACCAGTAGCACAGACACTGAGAGAAACAATTAAGAAATGGGACCTCTTGAAACTGAGAAGCTTTTGTAGGGAAAAAGACACTGTCGATAAGACAAAAAGACAGCCTACAGAATGGGGAAAGGCCTTCACCAATCCCACATCTGACAGAGGACTGATCTCCAAGTATATAAAGAACTCAAGAAACTAGACATCAAAATACTGAACAATCCAATTAAAAAAAATGGGCTAAAGAGATAAATAGAGAATTCTCAAAAGAAGAATCTTAAATGGCTGAAAGACATTTAAGGAATTGCTCAACATCCTTAATCATCAGAGAAATGCAAATCAAAACGACTCTGAGATACAACCTTACACCTGTCAGAATGGCTATGATCAAAAACACTAATGACAGTCTATGTTGGAGAGGATGTGGAGCAAAGGGAACACTCCTCCACTGTTGGTGGGAATATAAACTTGAACAACCACTGTGGAAATCAGTATGGCGGTTTCTCAGAAAATTGGGCATCGATCTACCTCAAGACCCAGCCATACCACTCTTGGGCACATACCCAAGGAATGCCCAATCATACCACAAAGATACATGCTCAGCTATGTTCATATCAGCATTATTTGTAATAGCCAGAACCTGGAAACAACCTAGATGCCAGTCAACTGAAGAATGGATTAAGAAAATGTGGTACATATACATAATGGAGTACTACTTAGCAGAGAAAAACAATGACAGCATGAAATTTGCAGGCAAATGGATGGAACTAGAAAATATCATCCTGAGTGAGGTAACCCAATCCCAGAAGGACAAACATGGTATGTACTCTCTCATAAGTGGATTCTAGATATAAAGCAAAGAACAATCAAACTGCAACCCACAGAACCAGGGAGGCTACATAGCAGGGGGAACCCTAGGATGACTGTGGCTTATAATAAATTTTGGTTTTACTCACTCACTGGGCAAACTTCAGTGAAACATTTCACTATTAGGATAAGAATTGTACTGTATCAAGCTGATAATAAAAAGAAATAAAATAAAATTTTAAAAAAGAAAAAAAATCCTTAAATTCAAACATGCTAACACAACCTTTTGAGGAGGGGATGGGATCAGAACCATAGCATTCAGAGATTTCTTAATACTGACTTTCTGTTTTTCAACTTAAACACTACAAAAACCCACTGTTTGTACTATATCAGCTGTAGAGACCTTATGAGTAGGCTATTTTCTGAGTAGTTAGACTTACTGTATTTCCTGCATTAAAATGTTTTCCCTTAAAAACAGAATTCCTGGGCCAGGCATGATGGTGCACACCTTTAATCCCAGCACTTAGCAGTCATCAGTGGTAGGATTTCTGTGAATTCAAGACCAATCTGGTCTATACAATGAGTTCCAGGCTAGCCAGTGGGAGCCTGTTTCAAAATTAAATATAAATAAATGAATGAGTGAATAAATAAATCCAAGAGGAATGGTGGAAGATGATAGAATCTGTATTTCCATCAATTATCCTTTGAGTTTGAATAACCATGCACTAGAAAACATTTCATAGAGCTCAGAAAGCCAAAATACAAAAGCAAAATGGTGAAGACTGGAACACACACACACACACACACACACACACACACACGCACACGCACACACATGCACTCACACACACACATGCACTCACACACACACATGCACTCACACACATGCATGATTTTTTGAGACAGGGTTTCTCTGTGTAGCTTTGCGCCTTTCCTGGATCTCACTCTGTAGCCCAGGCTGGCCTCAAACTCACAGAGATCTGCCTCCCTCTGCTTCCCAAGTGCTGGGATTAAAGGTGTGTGCCACCACCGCCCGGCTTGTTTTGCAGTTTTTAAGGCCCTCCCTCCTTGGCTTTCTCAGTCCCTAAATACATCTCTGGACTCATGAAATAGGTGTTCGTTATCATATTCCTTGCCATCTGTGTTTGGCTATGACTTCTATTTCATTGTTCAGGTGTTTTGTGGTGGGTTTTTGTTGTTTGTTAATTGAAATCAAAGGAAAACAAAACAAACAAACAAACAAACAAACAAACAAACAAACGGCAAAACAAGGTGTCCGTGACAGAACTCAAGCCATGTGTGGGAACAGTTGGAGACAAAGGACTTAATCATTTGAGGAAAACCAGAGAATTCAAACATACAAACCAGATGCAGAAGTCAATGAAAAATGAAGTCTAAGACATTCATAGCAGAACTGATCAATCAGGAAAGAATTGGTGAGTCTAAGACAGGCTGTTCAAAATAAAGAAAAAGAGAATGAGTGAGAAGGAAGGAAGAAAACTTCAGTGTCTTCTGAGGCACCATCCAAAGGGGAAGTCGAGGCCACTGGCACCAAGAGAGAACCAGAAAATGACGAAGGACACAAAGTTTGCTCAAAGAAGTAACAGAAAGCCCCAGAAACCCAGGAAGAAATGTCCTTCCCATGGGAAGGTCAAAGTTTGCTCAGACCCAACCAGAGCCAAACTCTCAAAGGTCACAGAACATTCCGAGAGCAGCACAGGGGAGGTGAGGGGACAGCCATGTCCCCAGCAGCAGACTTCAGAGGCTGAAGGAAAAAGCTGCCAGGCAGAGCGGTTCTGTGGAGATGGGACATGGACGCCCTTCCCTAATAAAAGCTGAAGCAATCACTGTGACTAGACCTGTCTACAGAGATGCTAAAGCATGTTCAAAAGGAGAGGGCGAAGATGCTCATGTGCAATGTGAAACCATCTGAAGGTGGGCTGGGCTGGAGTAACAGTAACAATGACTCAGTGGTCAAGAGCACTGGCTGCTCTCCCAGAGGACCTGGGTTCAATTCCCAGCACTCACATGGCAGCTCACAACTGTCCTTAACACCAGTTCCAGGGGATCTGATGTCCTCTTCTGACCTCTGCAGGCAGCAGGCATGGAAATGGTGTGCAGACATACATGCAGACAAAAACTTATAGACACAGAAATCAATAAATCTTCATGGGGGCAGGGAGCATCTGAAGTTTTAAAACCTGAATGATCAGAGAAAATCTAAATATTCAGGCATGATAGTCATATAGCTCCTTTGCACTCAAGGGATTACAAAAGCAAGAACAGAGGATGCTGCTGACGTGAGACTCATTTCATCTGCAAGGATATGCAGAGGCTGAACATTAATGAATGAAAAATGTAATCCACATGGAGACCAGAACAAAGTGGGATATTATGTCAAGTCAAATAAACTTCACATGAAAACTATGAGATTAGGACATTAAAGAATGGTAAAGGGGCCAAAACCAAGCCTGTAGCATACACACACACACACACACACACACACACACACACACACACACACACACACACAACCAAACGAACATTGATACAGCTCTCTGTATGAGAGACAGCAGACAAGTGACAGCTGGGGATGGCCACGCCCACTTACAGCAGTGGAAAATCATTCAGACAGGAAGTCAGCAGACACTCTGGATTTAAAGTACACTCCAGACTTCAAATGGAGCTAAAAGAATCTCATAGAACATTCTACCCAATAGCTGTAGAATTCGTTCTTCTCTATTGCATATGATCATGTTAGAAGAAAAAAAAAAACAAGTCTGAACAAAAACATACAAACATTTGTTTTGGTGGGACCCCAAACCAAGGTTCCATCAAATATCTTTTCTGACCCCAACCAGACGAGCAATAGGAAGAACACTGATCAACGCAGCTGAACAGAAAGCTGAGGTATTAACCAATTCATTCACACGGCTCATATGTTCAAAATGTCAAAACATAGAACAGGGAAAAGGATCATTTCTTCAATCAATGGCGCTAAGAAAACTGGCAACTATACGAAAGTACCAAACACCTTGTCTCTCATATGAAACACAGCCAGCTAAAAATGGATTAATCACTGAATGCAATATCTGAAACTGAGAATACTAGGAAAAACAGGGCAAGTGCTACCTGACTGCTAGTGAGGATCTTAAAAGAAGACCCCAACAAGCACAACAATAAAAGCAAAAATAAAAAATAAAGGCAAAAAATGGATCATATCAAACTAAAACTTCTGTAACAGCAAACAACAACAAAAAGGATCTACAGAATGAAGAAAAGTCAGCAACGTATATGCCTAATAAAATATTGACATTTATAAAACTATAAAGACCCAGAAACAAAATACCTCAAAAACAATCTGATTTTTAAAAAGAGCAAACTAGAGGCTAAAAAACATGGCTCACTGGGTAAAGATGCTTGCTCTGTGAGCCTGACAACCTGAGTTAGAGCTCCAGGAACTATACAGAGGAAGAAGGAGACAGCCAGCTTTCCAATGCTGCTGACTGATCACCACATACACTGTGGTGTGCAAGCACACATCATACACAGGCACACACTCACACACAGTAATAATAAATACATATGTAAAAGACAAACAGAGACCCCTTTCACCTGGGAGCTCCAACAGCATGATGACTATAGTTAACAGTAACACACTGTGTATTTCAGATAGTTACAGGAAAGAGTTTTCAAAGTTCTCACAACAAAGAAAGGGTAAAAGTTTAAGATACTAAACTTAAACCATGAGTAGTTATGAGATATTAATAAAGTGATGGATGTTAATTACCTTGATTTGACCATTATACAATACATATATGAATGGACCCACATTGTACCCTATAAATGTGTCCAATTACTATGTGTCAGAAGAAAAACAAATAGAACTTTCACTATGGAGTTAGAAACATAGAAAGCCCTTGAGATCAAGACTCCATCTCAGCCTTGCTGGAGGTGGATTCCAAGGAACATGACTAATGTCTGGTCAATGGAATGGCAGCAGACAACATATGCACTGTATTTGATCAGTCCTGGAATGCCCCTCCAGAGGTTTAGTAGAGGTGGGGTAGGAAGGAAGGGAGGTCCCTCCATAAGGCACTCTGACTTCCCACAATCTCCAAATGACACCCACAGGGTCCTCATGCTCATGAGTCATGTTACATGGGAGCCTATCTGAATGCAAAAACACAGTGCAACTCCACCAAAACATCCTCATGCCAGAAGCTGGACACTTGGTCTCCAGATGGCTAATTCACACTTATCCACTGAACTTTCCAACATTCTGAATAACTACAGAGAATGCACAGTGGCCCCCATGGCCATGTGTGCTCAGCAACCCCCAGTGTTGGGTGTCAGTCATGTTTTACACCCACCACCCCATCATGAGGAACACTGGAAACCTGGTGGTTGAGACTGCAGCTCTTGCACCGGGAAAGCATAAACTTGACAGAGTCCCAGGAAAAAGCAGGCTAACAGAACGAGCTCCCGACACTGCATGAACTGCAAATGCATGTGGACAGTGGGCTTGAAACATATCTAGACAGAACGATTATTCACAAACACAGTTATTCAGGTGGAAAGTCCACTGATAATAGGACAAGTGAAAGCATGTGCTCCCAGGATTCTCACACCTCATTCTGGACTCTGTCTGCAGTTCATTCTATTGTGGCTCATGAATGCTGTATATTTATTCACTATTGATCTATATATTTTCATACTGTTTCCCCTAAAACTAAGGGCCACTGGCATTGCAGCCTAACACTCAACTAATAACCCACCACCCACCACAAACTAAAAGATCAGTGGTGCAGAGGTAAAATAGGAAACGAGGTGTGGTTACATTTGGAGCCAGATACAAGGGGCAGAAGATGGCACCCCGCAGGTGAATGCCAGCGATAAACCATGATGCCTATGGAGAATCTGAGATGCTGAGACAGAGGGTGAGTTCAGACATTTGAGATGAGGAAGCAGCACTGCCAACTGTGTGCCTCCTCTCATGGATGCAGTGACCTCAGACGAGATTGAGAAATGACAAAAGATGTATGGAAGTGATTCCCGTGGAGGTGTCTCTGTGAAACACTTCCAGCTACTTCCCCAAATGTAAGTCTTTCCAAGGATGCTTGACACAGTTTGGGAGAGAATAAGGATGGACCAAGCTGGGAGGTAACTGAGGCCAGGATGCCCTTTGGGATTCTCAGAATGAAGTGAGGTGAGGCCTCTGTGACCTCACAGGCAAATCCCTACCACAGTAACTCAGTGTTCTTTGCCTGAGGGCAACACAGAGTCCACCAAGGAGGGCTGGGATTCGAAGCAGGCCCAAGTGTCTGGGTAAGTTTGGGCTGTTTTCTGGATGGACGCTACCTGAAATTCATCGTGTGAGTGACTCAGTCAGTGTGGGGCACTTCTTCATTGAGGCTTTAAAAGGGGAGAATGAAATATAGTGAGGTCATTGAAATGTTCCTGTCTGAGGACAGCTCATCCTAAGAACTAGAAAGATCAGGGGTCAGACATCTTATAGCAGTGGGACTGGTCCCTCAAGACCACAGGGAGAGACACCCCTCATCTCACCGGGCAGAGAGGCCTTGGGATGAAGCTGCACAGGTGTCTCTCGGCCAGGACTCAGCATCCAGCATAGGTAACGAAGAAGGATCCATTCCTGTTTGAATGGCCACATTAGACCAGCACGCATGGCTTCTCCAGGGAAGGTAGGAAAAGCACCCGGGGGCTGCCATCTGCTCATCCCTGAGGACTCCAGTCCCTGCAGCGGCAATGTTTTCATTTGTACTCAGCTGTCACAATATGGAAACAAACATCAATGTCACCATCAGAGGACACACCATGAGAGCACTCTGCCCTCCAATTCTGTGATTACGGACATTTGCACTTTGTGTGTGTGCTCGTGTGTGTGTGTGTGTGTGTGTGTGTGTGTGTGTGTGTGTGTGTGTGTGATTTCTACACCAATATCATTAGGTTTTCTGTGCTTATAGAGGACACGGAATGCTGTCACGTGTCTTCCCT